ATTTGGTTGTTTTTACTTTTAACTTGTAAATAATTATTTGCTTTGAGTGTTTAATAAACTTTGATATTATTATTATTATTATTATTATTATTATTTTTATTATTATTATTATTATTAAGGTGAAACCCAAACATGAGCGCCTGCATGCAAGCTGAACATATGTCAGTAAGAGATCTTCTAAGGTTGCAGTAGACCCCAGCTGGTGATAGGTTCATATTGAAACCTTTGCCTTTGGCATCAAATCTTCACAGTTCTCTGGTGGGCTAAAAGTATCTATTGAAACTGGATCATTGGATAATGCAGTTCTAGAGTTTTTATTGGCTTGGCTGTTATGGATTATGAGTCAATATACGATGCGTACGCATTACGATGAGGAAGACTGAGAGTGTTTTTGCACATTGCAAGATTCAGTTTGTTCTTACAAACTAAAGTTGGAAAGATTTATCCATATCTTAGTGAGGTTTTTGATAAAACAATTATTCCATTCACACTTGTTGGGTATGAGATGATTATATATAGCCAACATGGCCCTACAGGCTCATTGGCTACAGATCATCCAAAAAATACATGCACTCATGGGATCATTGTTGAATATATTTAATTTAAACACTGATTTAAAACATTGAGAACGAAACCTGTTGAAATTAGGGCTGTCAAGTTAACATGATTCCTTTTTCTTTGCATTTTTTTTTCATCTTGATTCCCTTTTCCCTTACTGAATACATGTGTTAGTTTAAGATGAATTTAAACATAAGTGGCACATTTATACAATAGTATACAGACACTTAACCATTTTCCCCCGGCACCCTATTTCACAATATCATCCCTGAATCACACATAAAGGTTCCAAGAATAAAGGAAATGATCACCAACTAATGAAGCTCTTGATTTTAAAACAAATTCTCCTTGTTAGACCTCAAGAAATACAAAGAGACTGCTGTATGGAGAATATACATATTAATGTTGGAGTGTATTAGGCCAGGGGTTAAAGGTGTGTCTGCTGCCTGTGGTTATTTAGGATGGAATTGATGCATTGATATTTTATTTTAGAATTTCTCCCTCCTTTTTGTATGATTTGTATAAGGATAAATTGCAGTGTTGTTCAGTATTTCCTCAGTTTTTTTAGACAAAAAAAAATTAAATGTTAACTGAAATATCAAAGAAAAGCTGATTTAAATTTGGAGTAGTTTGCATTGAGTTTATTTTATTTTATTTTTTTTTGTTGCACAGCTTCATCAAATATTTGTATAGAATGAAATGTCCTGTCTAGAAACTGCATAGACACTGTTGAGGTTGGAATATAAAAATTCTCTATAATTTTTCCATTAACTCTTTAACCCTCACAACAGTGTCCAAAATCTCCATTTTCTTCTCCACACATTTTCTTTTGTTGCTGACAAGGAGATTTCTTTTATATGGCGATCATTTCGATTATTCTGGCAAAGCAGTATTAATGTAAGCAGAAATTAGATGCTTGCCACTCCTGGAGTTTAAAGGTTTAACGAGAGAAGAATCAGGGAATAAGTAAAACAACCTGTATTTTTTTCTATACTTGGATCTCCACCTGCCGTGTGAGCACCACTCCTCCCAATTTCATGAAATCTAAATGACAATTTATGCACTCCTGTGATCTTAAAATAACAGTATTTTTTCAACAGTATTTTGCATCTGTTAAACTCGTGGCTCAGATAATCTCCGTTATTTTAACTCTTAAATAAAACTGTTTAGTTAAGCGACCAGATTTGAAAAGGTGAAAACGATTGCTTCCTTTTTCAGTCTCGAACTTAAAAATAAACAAAGTAAAATGGAGCCTTTGAATAGTTTTCATAGCCTTTGGGTCAATGGAAACTTCCCACCCACAATATGGTAAATACGTTTTCTAATCTCTGTTTGGTTTAGGCAGGTGAACTCACTCGTACATGTGCTCGCGTTTATTTTTATTTTATTATTTTTTTTTTTGTCGGAATTGACATGTCAAAAATTAAAAAAAAAAAATGTTTTGAATAGGAGCTTTTACAGACAAGCGATTGTCAAGGTATATGCTTGAAGTTATTTATGGACATATAAACATATATTTTTATCGTAGAAAATATCCAGAAAAAGCCGACAAAAGGTTAAATTGGCGGTACTCCTTTCGATTTCAACATCTCCAAAAACATCATGCATAATTTAATGTGGTAAATAAAGAAACAGATTGCGACGTAACGCGTAAAAAAGCCCTACCTCAATTAAAGGGGCATCTCAGACATTTTTGTTATCTTCTTTCTAAAATCGGTGATTTTTTAACGATAACTTTGCATTTTATCGCCCAAAATTTTATACAAATTTGAAAAGGAAAATTCACAGAACACTCACAGATGCGAAAGTAATTTATGCAAAGTAAACCAGTGTTGTATTTCAAACGAGTTCTGATTGGTGAAAAAGAACAAAAGTCTGTGTATACGCAGTAGTGATTGGTTAATTTGAACAGCTGGGTAGATTGATTGACGTGTGATCACTGCGTGTGGAAGTTCTACTCTTGTAGCTCGTTCGTGAGTGGTGAAGAAAGGGAGCGAACAGGCACTCGTATGCGATCTGCTACTCCCATTTTCGTTGGCTACTCTAACTCAAACGAAACACCGGCCAGCCAACAAAAAATCGAGAAAGGTTTGTTTTACCTTCACGCCCTCCACCAATAACATTTCTTGCCATTGAGAATCCACGTTTTTCACTTCAATTTTTCGAAGCGTTTCGAAGATTCGCGACCAGAGGTGTCGCGGCGGTTTCGCTCTCAAATTTGACTCCAAAATTTGTTTACATGGTTTTTTTCCGGGAGGTTTTAGCTGTCAAATAGCCCCCGTGGCTATTTTTTGTTTTGGAGGAGAGGGTTTGAACCCACTTAAAGCCGAAATTAGTTTCTTACTTTTGCTTTCTTGTTTTGAACATGGCTTTTCCAGTTCGTTGTCTCAACATCGACATCAGCTTATGGAGGGCGTTGAGGAGGCGAGAAACGAAAATACAGACGGGCTAAACACCCAACCTCCTGACAACGGCCAAGCCAGCTATCCCCAGCCCGGACTGGCTACTTATGCCCAAGGAAGCACTGTTCCAAACGGACATGGCGTTCAACAAGTTATCGAGAACAGACCTGAAATCCAAAACGAAACACATGTTGGACTAGGAGATGATCGTGGACACCTTTCCATCTCTAATGTACCAGGTGGCGTTCAAGTCGCAGTTGTACCAGCCACAGATGATGTTGGAGTCGTAGATGGAAGTTTGACAAGCGCCTCGGCAGTAGATCGAGGCGAAGAAACAACACATACTGTTGTAACGGCAATGCCCGGAGATTATGGATTACCTGGTTCGTTACCGACTCAATATGTCATTCAACACGAGGACCACGAGGGTAAGAAAAAAAACGCTATATTTATTTACCGTGTTTTGCCGGCTAATTACTTCTCATGATGCATTTAGGGCTAAGTTAATTACGAAGTCTGGAAAGGTTTTGATTTTAGCGGTCTTTTTTAATGGTATCTTGTCAATTTCGTCTGCTTGTGTTTATTTCTATATCCGCCTAAGAACTCCTTGTAAGCTTAAAATTTCACAGAACAGAAATTTTGCATTCGACCCTGTTATGCTGATTAAAGAACCAGATATGCATTTATCATTATCTAGGGTTTGCACAAAACTTTAATTGAACTTTTTGGAGTACATGTAGTTACCTTAATGTGAAAACATCTTGTAGAAAAGTTCTGTTTCAATGTTCTTCCGCCAAATTTTCTTAATTAATTCAATTTCACAGTCACAAAGCTCACAAAAACAATGCAAAATCTAAAAACTTGAGGACCAATTTGCAACAAAGCTCCTTTAACGGTTAAATTGTTGGTATCAGATAAAGGTACCTCTTAGCTGGAATGCATTAAGTTACTTTCAAGTCTGCGAGGCTGGTTTTTAAAAGGTCACCTTTGTACACTTCTTCGACCTTAAAATTATGAATTTTTGATGGACTGGTCTTTTTTTAAGAAACACTTGAATTTTACTGTGATAAAATTAAAAAAAAAAAGGCATTTATTTTGCATCCACTTTAAAAGTTCTTGTTACTTCAACTGGCATTGCCAACAAGTAGCATATATTTGCTGTTAAATCATGAACTTGAATCTTAAAAACCTTGTAGTAATCAAGCACTCTGCCTTGAAAAGCGATTGGTGTTTTGAAAGAACAGCAGGGGGTGCAAAATATGATTTAAAGTAGAATATATTTTGTCCTTTAGGCAACCATGGCTCAAGGCTTGGGGCTCTAATACAAATGAATGTCACGTTTTGTTACATTTCTGCTCCTTCACCTCCCCTCCCTTGCCAAAAAAAAAAAAAATCATCTATAACTATTTCCAGGGTACCAGCAGTCCAAACTTGGGTTATTCTCAAAGTGAAGAACTCATTGGCTGGCTACTTGTATACTGTAATACTGTTTTTTCCAACTCAATTGTAATCACTTGAGCAGCAGTTTTGAATTTTTTTAGGAACCTTCAGCTTTACTTTAGAACTGTATTCATATTTTCCCACTTGAGAATTTGTGTGACAATCAACTTCTTCAATTGGTGATCATTTCCTTCATTCTTGGGATATTTGCATTTGATTAAAAGGGAATAATTGTAAAGAAAATGAGTGAGAAGCCCGTCACTCTTAGGTCAGAGGATCAATTAGATTCAAGATATTTCCCCTTTTGCTTTACCCATTTCTTCTGAACAAACATTTCTTGATGCAAAGTCTTAAAATATGAAAACAGTTTGCATGTTCAGTAGAGCATACTGGAAGGCAATTTTATGCCACACAGATTGTGTTTTGACCCAGTTTTTTTTTCCCATTGGCTTCTTGAAGTGATAAACATTTAACTTCTGCTTGCAATTCCAATATATTACCTTGTAAACAAGTTAAAAGAGTGGAAAAGCTTACAAATTATCCTTTCTTTAAATTACAAGGAAAAGTAGCACAGTAAAATGGGAGATTTATGAATTGGATCATTGGAGAAGAGAGACTTTATTTTATTTCATACATACCATGCAAAGTGCTTGAATGATTTTTATTCACAAGTTCCAATGCAATTTGAAAAAAACTCACTCATTCCCTATGCTTGTTCCTGCAACGACTTTCTCTGGAGTAGTATATGTATATCTTCTTTGGGTTAGGTTCATGAATGTAGAAAAGCGTGAAAGAGGGAGTAGCTAAACTTTAACTCTCTTCTTCAGTTTCTGCACGTTTCCTTTTAAATTGGTCATTGATTGATGAGTTTGAGTATTCTCATTACCTGTTTGTTAGATAATGTATCCATGGATGTTACGAGGGAAAGTTGCAAGTTAATCATTTCTGGTTGTTAAAGAGTTAAAAGAGTGAGGAAAACTGGGTGGAATTTAGCAACACAGATTGCAAATGAGCAAATAGACAAATCTATCGTGCTTGTCCACACTAACTCCGCCCGTAGAAGTTGCAGTAATGAATAATTCTTATAGTTGTTATGTACAGCATTTTTGAAAGTTCCCTCTAGTACATACAGATAATGATGCACATGTATTAATACATTACAATATAATTGTACTTTTATATTTAAAAACTACAATGTACCTGTTTATGGCCATTTTGCTTCAGTCAAGATTTCTCAAACCTTTGGTTTTTAAAAATTTTTAATGATTTTTATAAAAAAAATGGCTTACTTTCCAAGCAACACTGTAAGCTCACTCCTAATTTTGAAACCTCTCAATAATTCAAATTATGTAATTTCTTTTACCTTGGGAGTTTTGTTTCAGAGTACAGTTCAGTGTTCATTGATTACTTTATGAAGTTTTTATGTTCCCATTATTTTGCTTGAGAGTGTGTTACTCTCGAGAATTTTCAAGGACTTGAAATACTTGTTTTTAAATCTATTTTACTTCCTGCAAGGAAAGCTTTTTTCTTGGTTACTTTGTTATTAATATTTAATTCCATATGCAATGATGTATTGTGTTATGAAAATTTGATGATTCTCTCTTTAAAGAATTTTTCCTCTTTCAGAATAAATTAATTAAATATTTGTCAATTTGTGTTAGTGTACTCTCTTGCCAAGATATTCTGTTTGTATAAAATTATTTAAAGGGAATAGTTCCCAAATGCAAGTTTTAAAAGTTCAGAGAGGAAACTACCATTCAAGTAAACATATTTTTTTCAGAGTCTATGTGAGTGCTTTGTGACTAAGATTATCACCTCTATATCCCGCTGTGGTATGAATTATATATTACATACAATACAATAAATCAGTGCAAGGAATTGGGCATTCCATCAGAATCAGCCAATAAGGTCCTGCTATAATAGAACTAATTTGTTTTGATCAGATAAATTTTCCTGATACAATTTCTCAAAGGCCTAATTGAGTAATTAGGCTCCTTTCATTAAATTTTCAAAGCTAAAACGAAAGTAAACATATTTGGAAATTCCCAGAATCATGAACATGAACATGGGGTATAGCGGTGGTTATCCAGTGATGCCATTTGATCCAAATTTTCCCCCACCACCATTTAATCCTTTTGCTTTTCCAAAAGGTTAGTGTTCCTTCTGTCTTTCAGCAGTTTGTGCAATGCCTGGTTGGCACATTGTAGGAGTTTGTTCAGCAAGGTGAATTGAGACATATCTCATTGGCTATTGCTTTTGATGAATTTGTCCCAGTTCACCAATAATTCAAAGAACCTTCCACACACTTCCAATCAACTTCTAATGGAGTTTATGTTCTAAAGGGTTATTCTGTGAAATAAGAAAATTTTCTTCCTGTCCAATAGTGGTGTCAAATCGTGGATGCTTCCCAATCAGTTTCGAGAGCAGCTTTGTGGTGTTCATTGAGTGTGCAATCTTGTCAGTAAAACTGGCTCTGATTTGAAGAACCATTCATCTTTGGTTTTCTTACATTATGAATTGGTATTGTTGGTTTTGCCTTTGGGAATGAATTACAAGAATTTTCAAGCATATCCAAACACACAGTAGTACATGTTTTTTTATTTAACTCGAACCACAAGTAAAAATATTGATGGCTTACCTTCAAGTAAATTTTTTACGATTTGACTTTTTCATCATTCTCTAACTTACAATAATTGCAAAGCAATACTAAGAGTGAAATGTTTGAAGTTCAGTGTGGGACTGTGAGAAATTCAAATTGGATTTTCAGTGTTACAAAAAATTTCACATGAATTTCCTCAGTACTGAGACAATAATTATCATTCCACGTGTTCATGATCTGTCTATCAAAAGGGAAAAGGATTGTCTTGGTGATTAAGATATTGGGAAACTGCACAAGATTTGTAATTCAAGACTAGATATGTTCAGGTGAACATTAATTGTGTACAAGTATATAATCTGTTCATGTTGTCCTTCAGCAGCATATATGATTAAAAACATGCAAACTGTTCCAATGAGGCCTTAAACTGCTGTCTAAAAAGTAAAATTTAAAATCCAAGCTTTCTTTGATCAGCAGCATCACTGTGTAGAAGACTTCATGATCACACTACATCATTTGGAACTAACAGAAAAATTGAAGATACCAATTGTATCTGTTTTCTTAAAAGCCTGGCTTTCAAAGGGTTACACTGCAGGGCTTTACCCCTAGATGTTGAAGTTGGAACTGTATTGGTGAGAATGATTTGGAAAATGAATGTCAATATGCAAGTGCTGAACATGTTGTCCTTTGCATCAAAACAGGAGCTGAAGATGCTGGTGTTCATGATGTGGACGGCGACGAGAAGGAGCGAGAGGATATTCTTAGAGAGCAGGTAGGATAACAGATATTTGGTTTTTTTCTGGTGGGAGGTGCACCAGTCTGATTAAAGGGTTTGGATTTGTGCACTGGTCAGGGATTAATTATTGTGTTGTTTGCTTGGGAAAGACACTTTACTCTTACCATTCCTCTCTCTGTTGAGAAGGTTACAATGTACATTTATTACACGACTCGGGCAGTCAGAGGGCCAATAACTAAAATCAACCAATCAAAATGCTCTATTGCCGGTCAATATTCTCTCAGTATTGGACCGGGCACTGTCCTGAATGGTCCCGAATGATACCGCACTTGTGTCCCTTTGAACTTCAGTCGTATAATAAATCTCTTATTAACCAAGCTTGCTCGGGACCGTACTGGAAAAATATCGGCCCTCGGTCTTTTCGTACGGACTGAGCGCAGCGAGGTCCATACTGTCAAGACCTCAGGCCGATATTCTCCCAGTACAGCCCTCACGCTTGGTTAATAAGATATATGTAATAACTGTTTGGGAACTTGACTGAAATTTAGTGTTTAAATTCCACTTAGGGCTAGCATACTCGACGATACTTGGTAATCTTAGTGGCTTCATGATATGAAAATATTCTCTGGTAGGATGAGCCGTTAGACACCCTACTCGGTTAACTCTCTTTGTCATTATCTTCCGACTGTGATTCATAAAGAGTATGCTCCTCATAACTGCCCTGGTTTCAATTAAACTTGGTATAAATTGGAAGTTTTTGGTGGTTTGAAGAGGGCATCCTCTTCCTAGAGAGGTAGGGGCCCCTTCCTTAAAGATAATCCTTTAACTCACAAGATCTAATTGTATTCATAATCTCAAATCACACACTTGCGAGTCATGCACGCACAAGTTTGTTAGCGTCTTCTTAACAGTAAGCAAAAGGCGTGGCAGCCGTTACACTGATTGTTAATTCTCCCATCTAGTTGCTATACAGTTCTTTGTAAACCAGTTTTTATGAGAATTTAGTATAATTTCAGAGCTGAGCAAAGAGTTTCCAGCAATCTGATTGGTCAAGCGGCTCCTTATATGACGCTATATAAACAGCTCCATGCAGTTTATATAAAATGTTAACATAAAATGTTAATAAATGTTACTAAAATGATATGATTTTAGAATTTTCTCTGTTATTCAGCTCTGAAATTATACTAAAACAATTATTCGCCTCAGGTTCGATGATATTGTCCAATAATCCCCTCGACTTCGTCTCGGGATTATTCAACGATATTCACCTAGTCTTCGGCGAGTAATTGTTAATTGGTGCTATATCAGGATAACAAATTCTACCTGATAAGTTTGAGTATTCTCATTACCTGTTTGTTGGATAATGTAGGGATATTATAGGGAGAATTTTCATGTTAATCACTACTGGGAGTTGAAGGGTTCAAAGGGTTTGACTCATCTTCCGAGACCCAGGGGCTGAATCGATTTTCAAGTTGGGGCATGAAGAGCCTCTGGGGACATTGTCTTACAAGACTAGTTCTAAATGGTCGCAGTCGTTCTGCCATCTGATTGGTGCCAGAAAATCTTTGTGTTTTTCTGCCCAATCAGAGTGAAGTGTGCTTTAGAGTCCTTTCGTGTGTTTTAACACGGACATATACTAGTAGCTCAGTTGCTCACTATGTTTGTTTGGACCGTGCGATGGAGATTTGCTTGAGGTGAAAAGTTTCAGTCTTAGCACACAATGTAAGAGAAATCGATCAGATTGTCCGCGAAAATCTTACCGGAAATTATACTGAATACTTTCGCAGGTATCACTAGAGAACGTGTTTTAAAGTTTGCGAGGTTTGTATACAACACGATGGTTGCAGTCATTGATATGTCGCTTTAAACGTTAAACGAGATTTAAGCTTAAATCTTT